TATTTCTTTATATTATTTTATTTCTTTATATTTCTTTTATTTTATATCTTTTTTATATATATGTATATATATCAGTATCTTATATTTCCAAACAACAATTCTGTTAGTTGATATAGAATGGCATCTTACAGCATAGACTCCACCAACTGAAGATGCTGGTGATGCTGGTATGAAGCTGTTGACTCCAAGTTGGTCAGAAGATGGGATGTCAAGACCATCACCAACATCCTCTTTCTCTTCAACTCCTTCCCCTGCTATACCACTGAAATCCTCATCTTGACTTTGCTGGGAAGCTCCAAGCATCAGGACTTTAATCAGAGAATCCTTTTGAAGCCCATTGTCATCTTCATTCTCTACCATGGCTTTTTGTTGTTCTTCTTCCTCTTCCCTCAGTTTTGACATCCGCCTGTGGTTTTCAAAACCTTTGTTACTCATATCTCCGAATCCTTCATCGCTTCCATGTGGAGATCCCTCTGCGCTACCACCTTCACCCTTGTCAGAGAAGTCACTCATACTTCTACCTCGCTCTGTTTCAAGTGTCTCTTGCCTCCGACATCGAATCACTACATAGTCCTCCTTCTTAGCAAACTCTCGTAACCTCTCTGTCTCTTGAGGGTCATCTACAGGTAGTGCACTGCCATCAATAATTTCTTCACTGACCTCTTCTATCTCAAAAACCTCGCTGTCAAGGCTAGGCTCACGTCCAGTCAAAGGGATCTGACCATCAGAGCTGTTCTCAGAAGACAACTTTGCCAACTGGTTGTCCTTGTCTCTTTGCTTGATAATTGCTTCCACTGCCATCCACTTGGACATAATCTCTTCATAAGTTACTCTAACTTCATCATCAGCTGCATTTCTTTGTTCTTCTGTCCAGCCATATTGATAGTGCTCTAATAAGTATGGCCAAACCTGCAAAAACAACAAAACAGTATTCATAATAATCACATATAAAACTCACTATTATTAAAAGAGTGATATATGGGATTTGCTTAATAGTTTAAAGATGTATTGTCCCATGCTAAATACCAAAAAAATCATAAAAATATTTTTTGAAATTAACTTGCCCATTTTGAAATAACATAAAAGTTATCAACTTGAACACAGAAATTAGTGTATTTAAAAAATGTCTACCCATCAGTTTACAGTGAAAAATGATAGAAACACTTCCAGTCACTGGAAGTGTTTTATTATTTTTATTATAATTTTTTAGTTTAACAATCAGGGTACACATTTTTAAATTCAATAATTTTTATGCACAAGTTAATAATTTGTATGCTATTGTAATATGACCAAGTTAATTTCAAAATTATTTTTTATGATTTTTTGACATTAGCAAGGGACAATACATCTTTAAAGAAAACCTGGTTGTGTACAGTTGAAAATCTTGAAAACTGAGATGTACAGTAACATTTTAACTACTGACTTCAGATATTAAACTAAATTACAGCTTTTAATTGAAAATTAAAAATACATTTATTTATTGCCAATAATGCATACAATTTCCTCAGATAAATCATTTTATTACTTAAAAAAATGTTTTTGATCAATTTTGAAATTATGTTTAATTCTTGTTTAGATTTAACATCTGTATTCTACATCCCTGCTTATCAAAATATGGGTCGCGACCCAAATTTGGGTTGGCAAAACATTTCTAAGGGTTGCAAGAATGTTTCTAACAAAAAAATACAGACTTTGGTAAAACTCAAGTCAAATACATAACCGTCCTACAAAATTATGAGATACGTTCAGATGTATCTATGAAGCAGGGCTCTACATGAAAATAATGTGTATTTTTGTTGTGTGTGTGGTTTATTCAAACAAGTTAAAACTTCTTAACTCAATGATGACAAAACATATTTAAAAATCACCTATTATGTAATCATAATTAAATGCCAAGGTGGTTGCTAAAGAACTAAATAGCATTCAAATGATTTAAACCCCACAAAATGCATATTGTATTGTACAAACTATATAAATGTGGTGCTAATTTGTAATTTTAAAATTTTTATGTTTTGAGTTACCTCTATTCTGATCTCATGCTCAACGCCACCATAGTAAACCAACCGCATCACTTCTGCTGAATCTAAAAGCTAATAATGCAAATAAAGATGTATCTTACATGTAAATTGTCAATATGGTAGTCTTTTCCATATTTTTTTCTATATTGAACTAAAAAAAATAAACATTATGCTTCGTATTGTTGAAAATTAATGCGAACAGGACTTAAAATGAAAGTTTCTACCCATTACCAAACACTGTACACTATAAATATTATCATTTAAAAATATTGATTTTAAAAATTTGTTTTAGTTGATTTATAAAATGTTGTTATTTCTATTTTTAAATAAAAGAAACCACGATAGCAATGTTCAGAAAAAATCTTACAAAAAGTTGAAATTCTCTTTCCATTAGTATACAAAAAATTAGAAGCAGACAAAAACAAACTATGAAAAGGCCTTACGCAGCAGTTATAAATATATATATATATATATAGAATAGAGATTGTCAAACATCCATCAAGTCAATATACTAAATGAGTACATGACATGGAACATCAAATGAATTATAACTAGGACTCAGTTTAAAATTGTTAAAAAAAATAATTATCAAAAGAATATGGTAAATTGAATGCACGGCCTACTTGGTACAGTACTAGAAAGCCAACTAAAGCTTTCTTAATTTCCGAAAACCATCTAGGGAACTGGCACGTTGTAAATTTCTGCTATTAATATACAGACATCTATTAATATATTAAATTAATACATTAATTTGCATAAATTTGAATGATTACCATTCCAGAGCTATTCAGCTCTTTCCATTTGTCGACAGTAAGCCCGCATTCAGCTCCGTTGCTCGGTATAATGACCGCATTTACCAAGCCTGACAGGTGGGTCCGCACAGTTCGTAAATGCCGGCAATGTGCAATCCCTGCGGGGAAAAAAAGCCAGCCTCAGAAGATGACAATGGAATATGATATACTACCACTCACAAAATTGGAAAAAAAAAAAGACTCGCAATTTTAAGATATTATTTATTATTAAAATTTAAAATAAAACTTAAAAATACTTATTTAAAAGACCAGGTAAGTTAAAAAAGTAGAATACATACTCCAAGTATTGAAATGCATGCCACCTAAGTTAGCAATTAAAAATAACCCAAAGATTGAGCAAAAAAGGCATTTAATAACATCTTACTATGGCAATTTTTAAAATTACTGGCAAATAAGCTATAGGAATAGTATTTTTAAATTCCTGTTAAGCTTCCCGATTGCGTCATGGCAGCAAGCAATGCACCCTGATTTCATCTGCAATGCAATTGGCAAATTTGAACTAGGTTCAACCTTCCTGAAAACTATCAGCGACTGTGACCGAGAGGGTGAGCGATTCTATGGAAACCGAGCTTGAATCATTGAGGAAAATTATTTCTTATTCCAATATTTAGTTGAAAGCTGATAACAGTATTTTTACTTTTTACAGAGAAAAGCTCTTAATGGTGATATAAAATGATATGTTTTAATGTCACAATAGCTTCCATATTGCACTTAAGGTAAATAGTGTACTCATGTTCTCAGTCAAATGTCACTTCCACTTTACTGAACATGTGACATTTAATATATTACCTTTAACTTTAAGTAAAGGTGTCATACAAAACAAAATATTTCACATTCAATAATATAATATCTAATAATGACAGACTTAAAAAATATGTCTCGCTTATCTTGTTCCATCCCAATTCCCATCCCACTTTCAAAATGTATGTTCTGATTTGACTTACATCCGTAGAACGCTCTGGATATGATCTGCTTCTTCATCGTGTCACACAACAATCTGATGGAGGATCTAAGATCAAAGGTCAAGCGTCTGATCAAATTTTAACTATGCAATACATAATATAGATGTGCATGTAAAATGCATAAGTTGGCTAAATAAATTGGTTAGGGGTCAAAGCAAAAGAAATCTTTCGGCCATACTACTTTTAAATGTATTTTTTAAAAGCAGTAACTCTAGAAGTAGAAGTATATAAAGAATGCACTGTAAATGTAATATTTATTATTTGTGAATGAATCATGGCTAGAATTCAGTCCTAAGATGGCAAAAACTGACTATGGTAGCTCTGTAGCAGGGCAGATATTTCAGAAGGAGACAAACTTGCTCCAGTCATTGACGGCCTAAACATGGAACATAGAACTGACTACTCCATACTCTATCTGACAGAGAAGCATATCGTAAAATCTTAAACCATTCAAACTTAAGGGCTCAAATTCAGCAGGCATTGTTAAAGAAGCATATATGAGTGCATTCAAATGCATGTTTTGATTTTTAGAAACATGGGTAAAAGAAAATAAACAAAACACCTATAATATACTTCTTTTTTTTCCTCATATTTATAGAGGTTTACCCTAGTTTCAGCATATCCAGAGCCCTCTTACATTAAAATGAAATAACATGATGCTTTATCAGCGAAGTCTCATTACGAGGCTTAGGGAGTGGAGATGTGTTTTTATTCCTGAGAAAAAATCCTATGTTTTCACAGGATTTGAACCCAGGATCCTTGGATGGAAGGCAAACACTTTAACCATCAAGCCACATCTCCACTACATATTGAATGGTTGAAGGATAAATACTGGCGATCATAAGGATTAGAGGGGAGCAGAAGACTAATTAAATGTGCCTGAATTTTAATAGCTTGATCTACAGTATATATTGTAGTAGTGGATAGTAATAATAAATTCCATGGCTAGAAGAATATACACATGGGGATGGGTAAAATCAAATTATTAAATAGAAATGCTTGTCAAAATTCATTGCCAACATAGCTAGACACACAGGTTAATTACATGCAACAAAATGCATGGGTATACAGACAGTAAAATGCATGGACAAACATTGTACACATAAATTATATGAAAAAATGGCAATACTTGGTCAAATGATATGAATGAAATATACACAAGAAAATTACAGGCAATTGAGAAACAGTGAACAAATACATAAGCAATCTAAGGAACAGGCACAAAAAAGGAAGGTAAGAATATTTTTGTTGTAGGCCAACAAAAGTACAGATGGGGCTTGCTCAAGGGATGTACGAAATAAATAGCAAAACCATATACAACATGATTAAGTATATTTGTAAAGTTATTACATAATCATAAATATATGAATTTATTCTTATTGTAACGGTGCTTAATACAATGTAAAATATAATTAAATAAAAGCCCTTTATGAGGATGGTTCCCGCAAAAAATGGTAAACGAAATCATGGAACTGCTCAGGGAAGTCCAACCCAGGTATTAGGTTAAAATAAATGTTAATCAGTGAAATGAGCATGGCCTTACCTAGAATGTAACGAAAACATATGCATGCTATCTAAAGTGCCCGGTAAATAGGTACTTGTAGGACTGGTTGGTGAATAGGTGTATAACTCTGGTTGCCTTATCAGCCGATGCCTCATCCCTGATGTTGGTTCCTTCTGACTCCATGGCAGCGTCATCATACCTTTTGTCTTCTTTGGGTCCAAAGCTTCATCCGGAACTTGAATAAAGAAGTTTTGAATTTCACGTTATCTCACAAAGAGTGTACATATATGAAGCCCTGTCTCGACTATCAAATTTTATTTGAAAAAAACATGTGATATGCCTAAATATGGTCATGACGACATCACATCATGACCATATATAGGCAGGTCATGACTACATATGGGCATACAACAGTTTTTTGTCAAAGAAAATTTGATAGCATGGCATATTTGCAGGTGTGCAAGCCATGTACTGACTTACCAAATTCAGGTTTCAATGCCGTGATTATCCTGAAGACGTAATCCGTTGCCTCCTCCGTTTCAGAAATCTCTGGCAGTTCATCCACTGAATCCTTACTCATGCTGTTCTTTGATGTTTTTCTTTTCAGCTTCGGAAATATTTTCCCCTTCCCTCTCTGAGACCAAAGCGGTGGGTCCAGTTGGCCTCGGGGCAGAAGGCCATTTTCAAGGCAGGAGAGGAAGGCAAGTAGATGACCGCCCTTTGGGAAGTGAATTGGTGGGAACTGGACTCCGTCTTGACCCACAAGTACAAGAGTGCCACCGCAATCCGCTGAATAGATAAAAACAGGTGAATTAAAAATGCATAGTGAAATGACTCATGACTAGGGAAATTACAATCCAAACAGTGCAAGTATTAGTCTGTATTCATTAAATTGCACGCACAACTAGGAATACTCCCCACGGAGTGGAGGAGGTTGTACTTTGTGCTGGTTTGATTATGGATCCGATGACCAGGAGTATTATAATAACAACATCGCCAGCCCCTTGTATTCCTTGGCAAAATGCGCGGTATAAATCTCTATATTATTATAACACTTCTCAGAACCAAATAAAGTCAATTGAGATTTGTAGCATGCTACATGGGTTACCGAAAGCATAAATTATAATTGTCAAATCGCCATGCAAATCTTCAACACTTATTTTGAAATGGCTCATATGCAATTCATCAGTGAGTGGACAATTTCAAATATTGTATATCAGGCATGGGCATAAAAATGGATTGGAGGGCCTAATGTGAATTTTATGGTTTAATGCATGCAAAATTTTGAAATTTTATGGTGAAAATGTGATGTTTACATTGTGCTTCTAAAAAAGTTCTTGCACTGCTTTTATAGCTCTTTAAGCCTAGTTTTAACATACAGGGTTTCTAGCCAAGATTAGGCAGTTGCACACATATTGTTTTTGATATGTTTCGAGCCTCACAACAAAATTTGTATGGAGACGCGTGTAGCCAATGGGCCGTATGTAGCCTACATGTGCTGTACAAGGTTGTCAATATGAATCCATCGACTAAGAGAAATAATATCCTAAGCGCTTTACCACAAATTTTCTCAGATATTTAAAGCTGATAAATATATGAATACTGAACATTATTGTTGGGATCCCTACATAAAGACTATCAAAATTCATTACTGGTTGGTTACTAAACCTTAAGGTGTGTGTGAAATGGTACTAAAAATGTCATAAATTTAATGAGCAGTTTGTAAACTGGTACACAATTTTAAAACAGACAGTGAAATTTACTGTAGCATGACAATAACTATGACAACAATGATGATGTCAGCAATTTAATGAGCAGTATGTTAACAGAAAAATAATTTTAAATTGTGAAAACCAGCATGAGGGTGAAAAATGACGATGTAAGAAATTTATCATTATAAATTGATCAGTATGTTAACTGGTACCAATTAATTACTGAATATTAGTGATAATATTATTGATTTATATATTTAATTTCATTACTTTACAGTACAAAATTAAATCTTAAAATGGTCCCCATTATTTTGTAAACCAACAGTATTCGCAGACTTCTCAAATTCGTAAAAGGCATTTCCCTAACTATGTATTCAGATTTCTGTAAGTTAAAAATGTCTGTAGCACCTAATAATTTGCCAAAATGCAAAATATGGATTGCTCAAAATTGTAGGTACAGCTGAAGAGTTCTAAAGAATTAAACTGGACAGAGTGAAGATTTATGGGTCACTTTTCAGGATGATCAGGCCCAGTTTCAGATTGGGTCTGATCCTCCTGACAATGGACCCAATCGTTCTGGACCCGATCGTCTTTGGGCCCGACTGTCTGTAATTCAATGTGAAATGTCAAACGGGACAAGATGAAGATTTACGGGCCACTTTTTCTCAGTTTTCACAAAACTTTATCAGTAATCTGACAAGTACTGTATGAGTTAATGTCTGAGACAATGTAACCAAAGATCCTGATGGAAAAGTCATTTGTTCCAGACTTTATTTATGGGTCTGGGCCTACAGGTGTATAATAAATTTCCGTACTATTTTTGTCTATTTCCATACGTGCATAATTATGCGAAATTTCCATAGCAACTAAGCCTAACTACGGAAGTCTGTCTACGCAACTTTTAAACTTGATATTAATTTCCAACCATGTTCTTGCAGTTCTATGCAATCTGTCTCCATCTGATTGAAGACTTTCAATCTCCTCTTAAAGTACTGGCTCACTCTAAATAATCACATCAGCCAATCAGATACTCACGTTGCTGGTGGCAGTGTAGGTACACGATGTCATCCAGGTTCACACAAATCGCATAATCCCAGTAAACACTGAAACACAATTTCATAGATTAGTTAAGATGATTGCAGATCAGCAGGAGCCGGGCTATTACCTAAAGCAGGCCTAAAAATGAATATTCCTTCTTTTGGCCATGTTAAAATGCATTAAAAATCACAACACAGTACGGTAAAATGTGGGTCCAACTTGTGATATGTCGCATTCAGTATCACAGCCAAATCTCAAATAAAGAGGTCAGGATGTGTATATTTCAGCGGGCACAGGATGAATAAATTATCACATGAGCATGGAATATTATGGTACAATACTTTGAATTTATTAATTTATTCTGAACTACTGTAAGGCATAGTACATAACATTAATTCTATTGAAAGTATTCTAAAAGTTCAATATTTTCAGATTGTTTGATGGCATCTATAAAAGTATCATTAAGATGCTTTAAAAACAAAATAAATTTTGCCAATTTTTACAATATTATTTGTTTATATATGAAATTTTTTTTTTTTAAATTATAAATAGCTTTCTTAATGCTGCCCTTTTACACCCAATTATGTTTATTTTTCCATATTAAAAAAATATTTGTATATTTAAAAATTGGTGGAAAAAGTGGCTTAACCTTTTCTTTTCTCCACCTTTTCACCCAGGTTTTAAATATTTAAAAAATCTGTATCTAATTTACTGTACCCAAGTTTTTCGTATCACTTGTACAACATAAACACATTTTTCCTCCCGAGCCTGGGTTTGAAGCTATTTTGCAGTTATTATAAATATCATACTATAAACGGTTTAAGGTGGAACTTTTAAATTAATTCCACACTACAGTTTGGCTGACAAATCAAAAAATGTACATGTTAAGCTATGCTGTATACGATAGTGTGAAGGACATCAATTCACAAGCATAATGCAAGAGGAACCCATGCATAAGGCTTCTAGACTTCTGTTGTTTAAGGTGCACATTTAGTAATGCTAAAATATTCACTCATTTAAAATGTGTTAAGATATGATAGATTGACTTTAAGTTTGAATACCAAAGGTCACATGCCAATTGTCCATAGAGGCTATATACAAGTCAGCCATTAGGCTGAGTTTAAATAGGCAACATTTAAAAGGTGGATAGCAAACCATGCACACTGAAGCATTCAGGTGATATATAAACAAAATAGTGTTAACAATATTGATGGAGAAAAAAAATAAATGATAATAATAATAATAATAATAATCTTCAAAAAATTGTATCTGGTTTCAGTATATAATTGCTAATAATAATAATAATACTAACAATAATAGTAGTAGTAGTAGTAGTAGTATAATAATCATAGAAATAATGGAAAAATTATTATTAAAAAAAAAAAAAATTATTATAACAGTAAAATTCAATGTATTCTGCATTAGAATTTTTGATTTTAGATAATCTTGCATAATTTTGTATCACAAATCAGGAACACATGTGTATTAAAACAGGTTGTTACACAGTCCTGATATGTTATCCTGTATAAATATGTTCAATAACAACAATAACAATTGTAATTTGTACAGTATATTAAACACAAAGTAATGAAAATAATAGATAATAGTAATAATAACAATAATAATAATAATATTAATAATAATTATATTACAAGATGATGAATTATAAATAAAAATTATCATAACAATAATTATTAGATAATAATAATTTTATATAATCAAAGAACTTAAATAGTAGAATAAGTTCTTCCGCATTATCATAATTGATGGAACATCCGCCTTCCTGTAAGCGGAGTAATATTTGGACCATTTGACGAAGTGGAGAAACTAAAGGAAACAAATGAACCTGAGCGGCGCCTTTGTAATTGATATATAGCGCCACCACGCGGATGAAGTAAAATTACTTTCCATTCTCCCACAATGCATTTCGACCGGACATTCTGATATATCGCGAAGCTACTCTATCTGCTATTTATTATCTTTGATATAATAGGGAAATGGTTAACATGCAATTAAAATAATGAGAATAATAAATAAATAATTAATGAAAGAAACATAAAAAAAAAAAGAGAATGCTAAAAATGTCCCAAGCATAAAGTGAACAAAAGCATAAAATTTTATATTACAAAATATATTGATTTAAAAAGATTAATTGGTGAATATTTCAAAAGTGTATTTTAAAAACATTACTGCACTGTTATATTTCTAAACATAAACAAAATCTCTTACTCAATATAGTACAATGTATAGCAAAAGATTGTGTCAAATGGCGAGAAACAATTTGTGACAGTACACTGGTTTTGAAATGGGAAGCCTCATATTAATTTAAAAAAAAATTATTTTAACTCATTTTAATAATGGACAGGTCTGAATGGACTCCAAATTATAGTGAACATTTGTTTGGGTAAATTTAAATACTGACTTTTTGTTTAGTCCCCCTTTTTTTTCTTAAAATATTTATTAAATAATAATTATGAATGAAACTGAAATCTACATACATAATTCTTTTTTTATTCATATGTAAATAATTGATCAAAATTTAAAATCCTAATTCCAAAATGATGCAAAAGGGGCCTGGGCTAGCTCTCTGAAATTGGTATGTAGGGAAAAGGGGTCAGTAGGCAACGATACATGTCTGAATTTCCAAACTGGGTCGTCTGTCTCAAAATTTGCAGAACGCTGATATCGTATTTATTAATTAAACCTTCAAAAATCACCTTTTGATACATCATACAATTTTATTTTGGGCTCTTAGTGTAGTAAAATAATAGTATATTTGTAGTACAAAAAAAAAAAAAAAATCCTGACGAGTGGATTTTCATGTTTTGGGGTTGGTTCGGCTTTAGCAATATAAAGTTAGGCTAGAAAATAACAAAATAAACTTTGGCTAGAAAATAACAATATAAAGTTTGGCTAAATAATAACAGTAGAATAAATTATTATTATTATCAATACTTATTATGCGCCAGTTTCCATCAAGTAGATGGTCTTGACGCAAGCACAGAGCAGACTCCAGAAATAATAGACTTGTTAATATCTTCATTGAAGTACCGATCTTTCGAAGTGAGGACAATACAGTGTAACATATATTACAAAGAAAATTTACGATATTAAAATGATTTAAATTTCATATCTTTTTTTTTTCATGCATTGTCTGTGATCCAGGTGTTGACCTAGAATTTCTTCCTCTCTTTTGTACATATTACTGTTAAAGGAGTGACGAAAAAAATCATAAGGGAAAACTAATTAATCTTTAGCTGTTTCTTTTAGGCATAAACATACAATGCAAACTCACTCATCATTTAACACAGATTTCACAGACTATATTCATATTGATTAAGTCACAAGTGAATTGTCATTCCCATGAAAGAATGGCTTAACAATAGTTCTAATTATTTATATGCTAATGTTGTACGTCATCCCAATTAGTGAAGCCCAATGAAGTATTATAATTCAGAAACATGAGCTACTTTGCGAACATCCTCCTTACGCATGAAGGAATCGACCTGGTAACAAAATCACAGGCACAGTGCTAAGCACGGTAAAAATGATGCTGAGATTTGAGACGATTTCTTATGCATTATGCGTGGGAGGATCTACCAATTCAATCAATAAATAACTCAGTCGTGACTGGTCAACAGAGATTGCCGTTAGGTGGAAAATCGTTGACGAATTCATTGTATTTACTGTACTTTTGAATAGTTATTAATTAATGAAGATACTAGCATTGCAGTGCCAAATTTTTACATACATAATAATAAATGAAAGCAGTGATAGTTAATAATTTTTGGCTGGTTAAGAAGATGGTGGAAGATGTTGTGGCCAAACAGATTAGATTTTAAAAGTGGTTTGAATATTTCAATAACACAGAAAGAACAAAGATAATTAGAAACTCAATGTGATAATAAACATGAGATGAAACCTAATGCATGTTTACATCCAAGTGCAAACAGCAGTACAATTTGACCTTGGTTGAGTAAAACCCTTAATTCAATGTGAACAGGACTTCAGTTTACAGAGCATCACATAGATCCACCATTAAATTAATAAGTGTACTTGGAGATGGATGTGGAAAAAAATAATAATTAGGCCTAATAAATTCATATCTTGTTAAAAGACATGATAGACCTAGCTGGTATTGATAACTAAATATCTATATACAAAAAAAACTGAATTATGACAGAGGTAGGGATAGCCAAAAATGTATAAAGTTTCTTGTCTTTAAGTGCTGTTGCTCTTGTGGTATACTGTATTAACTACTGAAAAGGGATGTCTTACAAGATGAGTTATACAGTACTACATCAAAGCCACACCATATAGAATTAACTTGCTACATGGTGGTGTACTATATAGGGATAACTTGGTACATGATGGTGTAGACTAGTGTATTGAAATGCCTTGCTACATGATGATACATGGCACTTTGCATTATGACGGTATAGTACTGTTATAGGGATGCTTTGCTACATGATAATGTAAGTACTGTACTGTATAGCTTCGCTGAAGGTTAGGGGCAGACTGGATTCATATAAATACTGGTTCAATTCTAACGATAAGCACTGGGATCCAGGGAACTCGTGTTTCGACACCCCATAGTGTCGAAACACGAGTTTCGACACCCCATAGTGTCTCCAGTTCTATAGCTCCAGTTAATAGTACTTTTCATTCAGTATTAATCATATCATTTTTTCCATTCTAAAAATGGCGCCATATTCGAGAGGAATTTCAATCTACGACCATGATTGAAAGATAGGCCAATCCATAGCCATAAGTAAAGCCTTGCTACAAAATAATATATTGACTGTATGTACTGTATAGAGATGCCTTGTACACAATTAGTATCTTTATAGTAAATGATACATGATGGTGTAGTATTACATAGCGACGCCTTGCCACATGATGGTACAGTATATAGAACTTTATAGAGATGCCTTGCTAGATGACGGTATAATACTGCATGGGGATGACTTGCTACACGATGGTGCAGCACTATAAAGGAATGTCTTGCTACATGATGGTGTAGTTATAGTACTAGGTACAGTATGCCTTGCTACATATCAGTTTAACTGATGATGTAATACAATATATAGGAATGCCTTGTTATGTAAAGTGCAATTAAAGTGAAAAAGAAACTATGCACTACAGTATGCTATGTTTAAATTCAAATGCATTTTTTTTGCTTTGACATTTTTGTACTCACATTTTGCAACCATTTTTTCTATGGCTGTTTCTTCTGCTTAGCCATTTATCACTACTGATGAAGGGTAACAATAAAAGTACAAGGAAAAAACAAAATTAAACACATGGAAAGAAAAAAAAATTAAAATGGTAAAATCAATAATTAAAATGGAATGAAAACAAAAGGTGATACCAAAACAAAATATGAACTTTGAATAAGATGTTTACCTAGCTAAACTATATACCACACCCATTCTCTAGTTGCGAATGTTTCCTGTATATTTAATTGTATGGCATAGCACTAAATATTATGATTACAAACCCATGTTATTCTAAACAACATATACAAAAGTATATATATCTCTAAAAGAATAATTTGAAACAAATGGCATATTATATACCATGTTAGTTCATTAGTGGCTTAGGAATATATTTGTCATTTGAATATGTAGAAATGTTTTTACCACCTGTAGTAGTTTCACTACATGTAACAAGTGCTTTTCACCACCTATATTACAAATGCTATTCAGCACCTGTAACAAGTGTTATTCACCACTTCTAAACCTGTAACAAGTGCTATTCACCACCTGTAACATATACTATTCACCACCTGTAACAAGTGCTATTCACCACCTGTAACAAGTACTATTTACACACTTGTAACAAGTATTTTTCACCACATGCAACAATTGTGCATTCACCACCTGTAACACGTGCTATTCACCACCTGTAACAAGTGCTATTCACCACTTGTAACAAGTACTTTTCACCATCTTTAACAAGTGCTATCCACCACCTGTAACAATTATTTATCACCCCCTGCAACAAGTACAATTCACCAACTGTAACAAGTGGTTTTTATCACCTGTAAAAATTGCTATTCACCACCTGAAACAAGCTTTTTTCACCACCTGTAACAAGTGCTATTCACCACTTGAAACAAGTGCTTTTCACTACCTGCAACAAGTGCATTCACAATGTGTATACTATGTACTTTCCACCACCTGCAGTGTTTTTCATCTCTTGTTACAAGGACTAACCACCAGCAATATGTGCTTTTAACTACTTTATCTCACCACACCAGTAGCAAGTGCATTTCACCAAATGTAAAAGCATCTTTTCCAATACGTACAGAAACAAATGCTATCTATACCGTTTGTAACATGCATTCAACCACCGTAGTAAGTGTTAAAAAAAATAATGTGAATTCTATTCTAGTACAGTAATCCAATTATTAATAGTTTTTATAGCCCATCACCATGAAGTCTAAAAGAATGAATACGGAAACTACCAACCTTTTGCCGAAAAAATAACTGGGGAATAAGCAAATTAAGAAATGATGTGAAAATAGGTAAAATTAATGCATTCATCAAGTGCAGCCATCACTTTTAATATCAATGGTAATATCAATGGTAAAAGCATGAGTCAAACACAACACGAACATTTCAAGTAGATGGTAGGCATTGCAGCAACAGTTTATATAGTAATAAATGACCACCTATATAATATCTGCCATATTATTAAATGCTTACAGTAAATTTGTTTAAATGTTTATGTTCTTATGGGACATCTTGCAAGCTCAGCTTTGTCATAACAATCGTTATTTGTTGTAACTTGTATTTTGTAATGTTTGCAAGTAAATAAAGATCTGACAAAAGTAATAATTAATGAAAAACTGTTAAAAATGGAAAACAAATGGTGAAGATGATAATTTATATCTTTAGTTTAACATGCATTATTAAATGGTCAATATCATAGACATTTTAGCCGATTTGAAGACTTCCGTTTTAAACAAAAGTGCCTGGATTTTCCAGAGTCAGTCACACTGTTCTATTTTCTAAATTAATATAATTTAAAAAAAATTTCCAGCTTTATAATTTCAATAAGATAGCTTTTAACACTAACAGATATTAAAAAAATAATAAATTCTTAAATTTTTCCCAATTTTTTTAGGTGTTTACCTTAAACATTAATATTCTTCCTCCTTAATAAATTATCTGAACTAGGTAAATTATGCCATTCTTATTGTATTATACATCAGTACTGTTGTTAGATAAAAGTTGTTGACATAATGTATACAGGTCTTTTCTTATTGCAAAAGATCATATATAAATACACCTACGCAGAACGCCCACACACACACTTCATTCTAATAATATGCACACACCATACGACCGAATGATCGCACTTCAAAATTAACTACTTCTTAACATATAAACTTAACCATCAGTATAAAGATTCTTGGTAACAGCTAATGCAAGAAATTCTGCCTCAAAGTGATAAAAATAAGCAGACTGTTCCAATTTTTGTGTCATCATATAAAATAAAATACAGTATATTTAAATGTGTGTTTTTACAACACCAAGCACGTCTTACTGTCAATCTTCAAAGTTTGTATTGTAGCACCCGAACACAACCCTGTTGTAAATGAATCTCATTCGATCTCTTTTCAATGACTTAGCCTGAAGAGTATCTACTTCTATATTTCAATGCTTTTACAACCTACCTAGTTATTTTGATAAAGCTACAGTATAGTAAAATACAGACCATTCCAATATACAAAACAGGGATGTGCCTGGTTTTTGCCATGGAGTGTTATGGAGGGGGTGGGGTGAAAATAGTGAATGAGGACATAAATACCAATGAAATTTTTAGTATTTTAACCCACTTAGTGAGCTAATTTGCCACCATTTATATTCTGAAGATGTTGGGTTATAAATATATTATAGTAGGCTGGCTGCACACAGGAGGGGAGGGGGCCGCACACAGGAGGGGGGGGGGGGGTGGGTTTAAATTCACTTTTGCAGGCCATTTGAAAACTGCCATTGAGCTTCATGTGACCTGCACTTTGCCCGATAGTAATACTTTTCAAATTTACAAAAAAAGTGCTGATACACTGGAAATGTATACTACTGTATTTACCGTATATCAAGTTATAATACTGAAACTAAATACATTGGCTGAGCATTTTTTGTTTTTCTTAAATTTTAATTTCAACCCTGGTAATAAGGGTGTCAAACGCAGCTTAGCTCAGTCTGCTAAATTTGTGGTAGCCATTGTGTGTGCACTGAACCATTGAGATGTCTTCGGTTCAATTCCCATCGCTGCTCTCCCTGCGTTTCAGCTGGAGGGCTGAAATATAGTACCATTTTTTTGATGAGACGTTTAAAGCTTTTGGTCCCATGAGCAATATGGCCCATGTGCACGTTAAAGGAGGCAGTACACTCTTTGGAAAAGCGTAGTTGATTGTCTCCTGGTTTACTGCCCAATTCACATCAAGAAGGACCCCACTGGAAACAAGTCGGTCAACCTTGGTGTGATTCACACCGAAATACTCCTATCCTATCCTCTGCAAGCATACATTTAATAATATGCTATTATTCACTATTAATTTAGACATTTAACAAACAGTTAATCAATATTTATTGTTACTATCATTAATCAAATCCTTTAAAGCTTGATTTAATATTACTGCATGCTATGTGCACTATCACAAACCCTGTTTTAATTGCATGTAAACAGTTTCTTTATGTTGGGTTCATTATTATGTAGAGCATAAACTGATTTTGATATGAAATAAAAATATATCAACTATCACCTAATATATTACTAGTGGTCAATACTGTACATATCTTATTACAGAACCAACCATGCATGTAATTATTATTTGTCATGGCAACTGCATATCTTAATTTGAATTATGTAAAGCTCTGTGCAGACTATCAAATTTTTATTTGACAAAAACATGTAATATGCCTAAATATGGTCATGATGACATCACATCATGGCCATATATAGGCACATCATGACTATATATTATGGGAATACAACAGTGAACAAAGCTTTTTGATAATGCAACTACTGTTTGATAAGCCTCCAATCTAATGAAAATGGACAATTTATTCACATATTTAATGTTATCCAGGGTTACAGTATTTGATTAATATTAAAAATCTAAACAATAAAATTAATACCATACGATAATAATAAATAACACAAAATGCTCAAATATGCGGAATGCACTGATTTTTAAAGTTCACTGAAATGTGTACAAAGTAAACAGTAATTCATAAAGTATAAAGTTCAGACTATTTCACTTGAATTTTTCATAAAGCAAATCCAATATTAATGTAATAGGCATACAAAAAATATATATCACATAAGTCATACTATTATAGAAAATATAATAAAGTATATTATCAATGTAAAAAAATGAATACTGTATAATCAAAACCACCTTGCATAGTTTTTAATAAGCACATTAATTAATAAGTATTTAGTGAAACAAATTTTAATCAATAATGCATATTGTGTAACAATTAGTATTTTAAGGGCAGTTACACCAGTCTTAAAACAAATTCTTTATTCTATCTGAGGATGATATTGTATATGAACTGAATTAGAACAATAACATCCAATCAGAATTAAGAATTCATTTAAAACTGTTGTAACAATAGTGACTGGATATTTTAAAACCTTACCTTTTGTCAGCTTCTCCTTCACCATCACTAGAATTGGTGCTTCCATTCATAAGCTGGTTCGGGGTCCACTTGATGGTTAGTAGGTCAGCAGATTGGTGGAGTGATAAGTAACCAGGAATTTGCTCTACATCTTCCTTCTAAAAGATGTGTAGAATATTATAAGAAAGGGCAAGTAATTAGAACTGGTAGAACTTAGTAAAACCCTGTTTATACAGCATTTTCATGATTAATACTGACGGCGCACTACAGTACTTTAACTCTAACCGCATTAAAGATAGGCAAATATAGGTTACATAATTACTATATAAGAAGATATAAAAAGTAGTGACATTAGCTTATGTCGAGCTAAAGCAATATCTGTGTTGTGGAGGAGTCAAGTTACAAACGTATCGTAATAAAGCTAGAATTTTAAGATACATGTCAATATTCCCCTCATCATCAGAGGCAAGCATTCTATAAACCACTGTTTGGTTACTGTACTCTGCATTTTAACCAATTTATGAGACAGCTCTTTCCCATTAAAGATGCATTATTCTCAAAGTAATTTCACAATACAACAATATAATGATAAATCAAATATTAAATTTATTAAAGAGTAATACAAGTCTAATTAGGAACATATAAAGGTAAAGTTATTCATTACTGAATGTAGAGAATAAGCTGGCATGTGGTAAAGGTGGTCAGCTCCTTTCCATGCTGCCTTTTTAAATTCCCTAGTAGGCCTATAATTTCAACCAAGCATCCATGTATACTCCTGGTTGGAGAGAGACAAACATAGGTAAAGTGCCTTGTCCAAGCACACAAGGGAAATACACATGGAAGGTTCGAACCCCCAACCTTGAGAGACTTATATAAAGATGTTAAATAGTGGTTTCAAATACCCTCAAGATTTTTTCAGCTAAAAAAAAACTTCCAGTAACACATATTGCGACAAGATTGTACAATTACATTTCCACAAATTAGAAGAATTGTAGGAAAGAGAAAAATGAGACAAAATAAGTAATAAGTTCTTTAATTGATTACAAAACGTAATCTTTGGGTGCTTTTTTTAGCAAGCACATTTGACAGGTAATGAGAAATTACCACATTCATTATTAGTGTATTTTTTTCAATTTTTAAAAAATAGAATTCATAACAACATATCAATACAATTGCTTTGATGATTAACTGTGCTTGTTGAGTTATGTACAATAAAACTACAAATATATTATGTGTGTATTGACTCATCTGACTGGGTGGGTATGCACCTCAACTTTGATGTGACAATCATTAGGAGCAGATGCAAAAGTAAATCTATGTTTAAATATTACTGTGACCTTTGACCTGTGCAGAATAGAGAGCCATACACTATCTAATTACTGTATCTGTCAGACTCAATAGACAAATGTTTTGTCAGAGCAAAAATCTGTGCATTTTCCATGAGTATAATTATCTGACACATACTTTACCGAACACTTGCAAAATACCATCTGGTAAGTAAGGAATGGGTTGACGTCTTAGGCGCTCTAATTTGAATGAAAATCGTACAAAGCATCTTGCAAATTTTGTTTATACAGTATTCAAGAGTACCTAAATTTGTGTAAACGGTTGGCGCCATCTGCTAATGAGTAATATAATTATTTGGAAAATTTACAGAATGCAATTTCTGTGTAGTGCTTGACACTGCACTGAATATGACGGAGCCAAACTTTGTCTGACTTCTAACAAACACAGAAAGATGCATGTTTCATCAGATGTGTCTGAAAGCTCTGTCCAGATTATCAAATATTCTTGGACAGAAAAATGTTGATTGCCCATATATGGTTATGATGTGCCCAAATATGGTCATGATGTGCCTATATATGGTCATAATGCGATGTTACCATGACCATATTTAGGCATGTCACAAGTTTTTGTCAAATAAAATTTGATAGTCTGGACAAGGATTTTTCATATTAAGGTCTGATCAAATATTATCTGTTCAACTGAATCTGACAAGAAACAAATCTGATAGATAATTTTTAACAATGCCCATTGCATTCCTACATAGAGATTGGATGGTATTTTTGCAAATAAACTTCTTCTTTAAAATTTTTTCCTCTTGGCTATATTTTTTATGTTCTCTGATCTATTTTTTCATGATATATTTTTATATAAAAAACAAATTGTTTTATTTTATATTGATGTCTTTTAATATGCTCCTGTGTTACCCTTTCTGTCAACCCTACCCCAAGCACAACAATTAGGTTTGTTTTTAGTTTATATGCTGTCACCCTTGTGTATTGTATTTTAAAAACTAACAACAAATTGTAGTCCTTAATTTACATACAATAAAGTAAAAATTATGAATTTGTGATGTAATACTTCTTAGTACGGTTTTCATTGCTTCGTACATTGGTTATTTATGGTCAATTTATGCATGTACTGTTTATGTTATGGGTTTTTTTTATATGGTTTATAGTCATTATTGATTTATAAATTGCCAGTGAAAAACACTAAGTAATATTGTGTCTTGTATCAGTAGAGTACAGCATAATTGAACTCAAAACAGAATGAATTGAGTATTTATTATAGGTCCTTGACATTTTAATTAGCTTGTTTTAGTCACCTAGAGTAGAAAGCAGTAATAACGTGACAGATATAATCGTGACATACCGGCTGTACCAAAACATTATTCTTGCCGTATAGTAATGTTGCTCGTGAATTTTGATGCAGCGATTCCACATAATCCTTTGCAGACATCTGCACGCAGTTGTCACTGTTACTGCTTGTCATTTTCCTTGTCTGTGAAAAAAAATTTAAATACCGATTAGACTATACTGTTGGTTTTGAGCGAAAGAACTTATATAAATAAACAAGGAAAAACTCAGATCAATATGATAATAAATAAGGAATGCTACAGAGAATCAATACACAATGTACAATTTCAATGCTGATAATAATTCAAAGATAAATACTTAAGATATTGAATCTAATTTCTGTTTAAGTATACCAAAAAGTACTATAATTTATTCTATATATTGCCATGTACCATAAAATTATCAGTATATATAATGATAAAATATTAGAATGAAAAAAAATTCTTTAGAATAATATTTAAAATATATTCACATTATGAGAATAATATTCCTACAAAGCGCTGAAAAAATATACTGAGAAAAATATTAATTCATTATAAATCTTCCAAATGGTAATTACAAAAGAATTTAGTGAAAAACAATGTTATAAATATTCAAAGAATTTAACAATTACAATAATACTGAATTATTTCCAATATATTATGTTAATTTGCATTTGGATTACCATACTAGACTGCACCCGGATTTAACCTTTTCTAGGTTGCAGTATAATTTGACAGACAGAAATTCAATATTACTAGAGTAACACTCAATGATTATATACTCTATGAGGGGTGCTAAGTTGAAAAATATAAGGTGGTACAAGGTCATTTCTAACTAACATTTTCAGTGGGGGACTGGGGGAGCAACCTTTCTCTTGTGAGGGAGGGGGGAGAGGGTTCACAACTACCATGTTATAGTAAAAGGATAATCTTTTTTGAATAAATATATTATAAACACAAAATGGACATTACAGGAGTTTGAAGGCATGCATGCACAAGTGTGTATAAGAATGTGATTTCCTTTGACTTGAATTTAAATTTTTGAGTAAACATAATTGATTTTGTGATTGGAGCCCAGTTTTGATGATCTTTTCTGTTCTACACCTGTTCTGGAATTTCTTGTAGATATATATTTATTTCTCAAATATATTATGATGTACTAATTACAATATTTTTCCATTAATTTTCTACATGTATACACAAACATAAACATAGTTTAAAAACTCTATACATTTTACAACCATGTACTGAATGCATCTTATAAATATTTTTATTGAATTTATGTTATTTTTGTTTATGCTGAATATTTTAACAATTCTATAATTTATATTATATTTAGTGTTTTAATATTATTGTTGAAATAAATCATTCAATGTGCATTTATAGCCCAATATTATTTCAATTTTGGAACTAGTGGCTCAATAGAATTTATGTTAAGTGAAATATTATTTAATTGTGTCATAAGATCATTATATATTATATTAGAGAATTTCAGTTTAGCTTTTCTGCTGTCTTAACTGACAAATCACAATCTCTAACATAATTTTCATAAAGTGAGTATACATAGCACATCAGTGTAGTGCATTGTAACTGTAGAGTGCTATATAAAATGTGAGCTCACCATATGATAATGATTAAACACTTAATTTAATGCTTTTAAATCAAATCAGTTAGCTGGTAATGAATGATTAACAAACGGTCAAATCAAACAAAATATGTTTTGCAAGCACTTTTGCTTTTATCAGGCATTGAACTTTGATTAGTTTAGTCACAAAAACCTAACATGAGTATCGGTATATACTGTAGTATTTTGGTATAAAACACAATATCTATCTTTCTTTCCTTCTTTATTAATACTTAACTAGGAAGTCCCACTCAGCATGGCTGACTTTCAGTGGAGTCCTCTTACATAAAAATTACAAAATCCACAGTAAAACAGACAACAAATTGCAGTTCTTTTACCAACACGGAAAAAAACCTCAATACGAATCAACAATTCAATCTTTAGAAAAGAAAAAAAGGGCTCAAATACTGTGGAGTAGTTGATGCTCAGGCTTATAACCTTGAAGATGGAGGCTTGTAAGCAATTTGAACTTTTACCTACAGTACATTTGTCTCTCTCTCTCTTTCTCTCAAGTCAAGTGGCCAAGCGGTAAGGCAGGGACACCGCTAACCGCAGCCTTAACATCGGTGCTGGTTTTAGCCACTCCTTGCCCAGGGTTCAGTTGGTAGAACCAAGTCTTCTTGATTAAGGACTTAAAATGGAGGTCCAGTGTATACCCACTGCATCTTTTGGAAGAGTAGTGGGTTACCCAATGTTATGATTCGTTTCAGCCACTGTCGTTGTGGAATAATATAATGAGAACTTGTGCTCTACCATAAGTGCCTCTTTACGGCTACTAGGTAGTCACGGACCACGCCCATGTGCAATTCAGCACAATAACGCTGCAAGTTATGGGTTATTCTCCTACCTTTACATTTACCTCTACTCAGGAGTAAAATTGGTACCTGGTAGGATGTTGTGGCATTGAATGTTTGTTATTATTTATTTGTGCATAATGTAGCACACATTGGTGTACTACCCCAGTTGATATTCTCTTTATGTTTGTACATTGAAATTGTAAATGTCACTTAATTTGAAAATATATTAAATGATTTAAATCACTTTCTTCTGTATATGGTTGTTAAATTTGATTCATACAAAACAATTTTTTTTTGTGAAGCACCTAAAAGTTCTGTTGAAATCATGTAAAAGCAGATGCTGCAAACATGAATCTACTTGTTTGGCTGATTTGTTTGAGTAGAAAAAGAAAGCAGGTTTGAATGCCTCTTCACAAATGAAATCGCACAGTTAGATTTAGAGCATTCTTTATTGTTGGCACAATACTTCAGAATAATATTCTACAAAACTTTACCGGTATTTACCTGACAATTTAAATCCAAACTCAAAGCTCTAGGTTTTATCTACTTACAGTGGCAATTCAAAATTGTTATTTTTATTTTTTCTTTCAATAAAAGGATGCCAATAATGTGATGCATGTATATTACAATATTTGATAGTAGATACATAAAATATATGCCAATCAAAGCATAAGTTTGTGATAGTTTCTATTATTTAATAATGATAGCTGGTATTTACAAAGATGTTTTTTTTTTTTGTTGTTTTGTGATGTTTTACCCTACATGACATGTTATTGTACTGAATACTCAATAACTTCCCAAATATTTGCAAAAAAAATTTGCAAGTAATTTGGGTGGGAATCGAACCCACGATCTCCAGATAACTAACTAGCCTGGCACTATAATCACTAGACTACTGAGCTTGAGTAGTGGCTAGTGTTGAATCCGATCTCCAAGTAGCAGTCAGGTACTGCAAATGCTACATCAAAATAGTATAGCATGGAAATAGTATTACAAATTATTACTGTTCTAATTTGGCATTGCACTGTTTTTCTTCTCTTAAGGCAGGTTTTGTAGAAAGAAAATAAATGAAATGACTTTGTTGATTCCATTTTTGTAAACTTGCCACCCGATGAATCATAATGATTCTTAATTAAAGCAACAAACTTTTCTCAGTTTAGTGCAGGCCATTAATTCATGCAAGGCTTGCAATTTATTTAACGGCAACATTACTAGACAATCACCATGACCTTTTAACAATTTCTTTGAAATATTATTTCTTCTGACATTTTAACATCCTTTTTAATACTGATCATCTTACTTGCCAGTTTAAAATAATGTACTTTCCTTTGAAAAAGTATTACCTGTCATTTTATCTCCCGCCTTAAATTCATCAACACAACTGACATCCTTTTATCTTGGTAGCTTAATAGTTTTTTTTTTATATACTTTACATTAAAGTGGATCAAGATATTTTAAATACCGTATTCATGCGCTATACTAACACTGTTCTGTATCCCGTAATCATTATCTATGTTACTTTTTTTTTTTTTGCAAATGCAACCGAGTTACTCTTGAAGTTTACAATGCATGAGCTAATTGCAGACAAAGTAGCGCAGACACAAATATATGACAATTAATGTGTTGTAAAATGCACATCATGTGTTATGTTTGAATGCGAATGTTGTACAAGAACTAGGGCATAGTTGGATGAACTCCATTTGTCTTGTTCTGTCTCATTTTACAGAGGAAAGATTTTTTTCCCTTTCCAATTGCTTTCCATAGAATTAATCATAGCAATCATTCAAAGAAACATCACTCTCTGCTATTCAAATGAAATTGTTAACTTCCGATTCAGAAATTTTTTGTTATCCTTTTACATATCCTACTAAAATTGAGCAAATTCAAATCACAAATTATATACGATAAAAAAAAATTGGTTTTTTTTTTCATTTTTGTATTTTATGCTTCTAATTTCATTTTTTCCATGCCACATATAAGGTAAAGGTAGGAGAATAACTCATAACTTGCAGCATCATTGTGCTGAAATGCGTATGGGCGTGGTCCGTGACTACATAGCAGCCGTAAAGAGGCGCTTATAGTAGCTACATGTTCATATCATTCCACAACAGCAGGAGCTGAAATGAACCATAACACCAGGGTAACCCCCTACTCTTCCGAAAGATATATTGGGTTCTTTAAAGTACACACGAGTCAGATGTATAAACTGGACCTCCATTTTAAGTCTTTACCGAGAAGACAACGTTCTAACAATCGAACCTTGGACGAGGAGTGGCTGAAACTAGCGCCCACGTTAAGCTGTAATTAGCGGCGACCCTGCCTTACAGTACCGCTCAGCCGCTGAACATGTCATTTATATGATTTTTGAATTAATAACAAATAATTACAGCAGAGCATAATAATATAGGTATTATTATAAAAGTAATGGAATAAGTATTAAGTCTGTATGCAATAATAATGACGATATGCAAATGAGTCACTATGACACAGTTTAGCTGAAGCCATGGATACAAATGAACTGAGTATAATTATACCCATTCCATTTTAGGTGATCAGCATTTTAGTTGTTAAATCATCACCGACAATAAATCATTCGCACATTTACCACCTGTCTATTAGTGTGTTTCCTATGCGTATTTACAGCGAAATGTGGCTTGCCATCCTAAAACCACTGACACTAAATATTAAACTGAGTAATTAGCATAAGAATGTGGCAGTATTGTATAATTCAGTACAGAGAAGCTGTAAAACTTTTACTCATAACTTTGACAACAGTAAAGTCAATTCTAGTTTATATTGACTTCGCCCTTTTAAAGCTTATAATGTGGAGAATATGATATGTTAAAAAGTTAATTTTCTTGTTTTGGTCGCTGATTATAGTTTTGGCATGACAAACCCCAAAGAAGTAGTTTTGTACATGAAATATGACTTTACTAAATAATTTATAAAACATTTAAAGTTTCATGATTATATAATAATACTGAGTATTTGTAATACATATAATTTTGTTGTTTAGTTTAAATTTTTATATGTTATTACTATCAATTTACATTTGCTACCTTTAAACAATGTTAAGGATTTTTCTTTAATAGGCATTTAAAAAAAATTAACCTCCTTGTTTTCTTCTCTGTGCATTGCATCAAATCCCACTACTTCGCATTCTAAAAAATTTGAATATCACCCAAACCGGCATGAAATTTGATTAATTAACATTACCACAATGGAGAACACCAGTAGTAACAAAGCCGTCGGACACTGACTCTAGACATTGCACCATGTTACAGCAACACTTAAATAAAATATAGATAAATTACCTTTAAAATTCCCTCCAAATTTGTATATTTTGGTAAAGTTATGGGCAACAATGTAACAACAAAACAGCTGCACTCCTAAAATTTATCATGTGATAAGTGTTGCGGAAACAAGGTCAAAATCACGGATTAAATCAAATTAATGAATAATTGTATACTGTACATACTGTTAATCCTGGTCTTCTGGGGGACGTTGAGCCTGTTGTACTGCTGTGGATACGATGGCGCTGTACAAGCTCATCTGCTGGTGGGTCTGTCCAGTAATGGTCCGGTGTTTTCATTTTTGAGTAATCCAGAGCACAGGGGCCAACTGAAATAATCAATGAAAGCACATTTATCAAAAGAGAACACAAACTTTTAGGCATTTAATGATAAAGGAATGGGGTTCTAAACCCACATATCTTTAATAGGTTAAAATTGGTTCCAATCTCAAATGCTCACCAAATTGGGAATTAGTGATAAGGTTATTGGCTTGCAATTGGTTCAAATCTTGAAGATTGTAGATTAGTGATAAAATTATTGGCTTGCAACTGGTTCAAATCTCAATGCTGGCCACATTGTGGATTAGTAATAAGGTTTATTGGCTTGCATGGTTCAAATCTCAATGCTGGCCACATTGGGGATTAGTAATATGGTTATTGGCTTGCAATTTGTTCAAATCTCAATCCTGAACACATTGGGGATTAATGATAAGGTTATTGGCTTGTAATTGGTACAAATCTCAATGCCAGCCTCATTGTGGATTAGTGTAAGATTATTGACTTGCAATTGGTTCAAAATCTCAATGCTGGCCACATTGGGGATTAGTTGATAAGTTATTGGCATGTAATTGGTTCAAATCTCATTGCTGGCCATATTGTAGATAGTGTGGAGACTACTGGCTTGCGATTGGTTTATATCTCGATGGTGGCTACATTGGAGATTAGTGATAAGGTTATTGGCTTGCAATTGGTTCCAATCTCAACGGTGGACACAAATATGGATTGGTGATAAGGTTACTGGCTTGCAATTGCCAGTACCTCAATGCTGGCTACACGGGTAAACATGCAGTTGGTTAAAAAAAATAATATTAGCCACATTAATAAAGCATGTGGATTGTTGATAAGGTTATTGGCTTATAAAGTGGTTCAAATCTCAATGTACATAATTAATAAAGTTGATAAAGTTATTGGCTTGCGATTGGTTCAAAACTCAATGTTGACAACATTACTGCAAGCATGCAGATTAGTGAATAGTCCAGCTGCAATTTTTCATACTCATTTGCAATTGTCTGGCCATGAAAACCATAAACATGCATTATCTATGAGTTAACATTGTTGTAGCGTCTTTTGCATGGTGTTATACTTCTATTGTTATTATATTTTATTGATATTTTATATCTATAGTATAATTTTATTTTCTTGGCATATAATAGCCATTGAGTTTTGTATGATCAATAAAAGAACTGAATTAAATCGGTCTAGGTGTTGATCATATCATTACCAGAAATAATTGAAGAGCTTCAAAATAATCATTCCAGTAACAATTAATTAATGGGACTGATTGCAAGCGGATAAGGTGCAAGCATTCTAATTCCAGTTATAGTGTTATCATTCTGTTGATTACATTTTTGTTTCACAGAGGATGCCTACAGTATATGGCTCCTTTTTTTCTGTTTAATTCCACCCATCATAAAAATTAGCAGGTATAATAATTTAACACACCAGTAGACTAAGTATTATAAAAACATACCAGTAGACTAATATATAACTTTACAAAAATACTCAATGAACCCGTATCAGTTGTATTACAGTAAGCTCCTTCTTGTCCCACAGCTACAAATGCCTCTCCACTAATATTAAGTTTTATTATAATTGGAATTATATTGCACCTATTCTTTGCACATCACATTATTGTTTAATAAAAAAATAAAATAATATATCTAGCATGAGATACTTACATAATAAAGATGATACTATTGGTCCCTGTACTGGGTGGGCTATAAGGGCATCTTTTTCATAGTATTTACTGTAAACAAAATAGATTGTCAATTAAAAAATCACTCCTAAAAAGTATAAGACTACTTTAACTATGGCCTAGTTCAGACTAGGTACAGTAGATAAACCCGGCTCAACTCACCGGGTTTATCCACCTGCCAGTCTCAACTAGGTGGCTTATCTCAAGCCGGGCTGTCTTCCTATAGCAACTAGGCCTGGCCCGCCACCGTGTTTAACTTCTCTAAGCCGGGCTTTAATCGTTGCGGAGTGGGGGGGGGGTCTTGCCTTGACTTCGGGTGACGAAATGACCAATCAGCATTCAATTACATACACTGTGATCGAGCATACATTTTCGCGAGCAATGTTTTGAAACACGTTTCCTCCATGGTTACGTGTCATTATTATGCAAATTCTCACTTGGCTAAACCCGCTAGTCTGAACGCCCGGCAAAGTTAAGCCGGGCTTAACTCAAGCCTAGCTTATCTCCAAGTCTGAACGTAGCCTATAACAGTCACTTAGTTTTGGCACCCGGATTGCCAACACAGACTCCTAGCGAAGCATTGTGTAATCCTTCTTGAATGTGTCTGCATACAACTAACCCATAGTCATTTATAACAATATACAATTATTCAATATTTTCATGTAAATAAATGCTAGATAGAGGCTTAACATTTTGAACCAGGATGTTCTACTGTACAAAAGGTCTCTTATATGAGGATTGGGATAATGTACCTGTGTTCTCCCCAGGCCCTTAAGGTCTAAACTAGGACTAGGTCGGTCCAAAATTGCCATCCTGTGGCAATTCTGGCTAGGCTATAATAGTAGTACAGTATATGGTCACTAACTTCACAAAAAAAATTTGTTAAAAAAAGGAAATCTATAGTCATTTCAAAAATCTTAAAAAGCATTTTTGATGTCTGAGAGTGCCATTTCTGTGAATCTAGGTCATTATTAAAAAAATTTTCCCCAACCATGGTGGGGAGAGTGGAAAGGGTGGGGCTGGTACCATGATGCTTGACCCTCATCCTGGGAAGAACACTGATGTACTGATCGAATAAGCCCAGCGATGCTTATAATGTTAGTAGTATAATGTTAAATATTGTGCGGTGCGTTTTCCAGGCACTTATTCAAGAGCGGTACTTACAACACAAATAACTAGTGTGTGAAAACGGTACCTCTTTGTATATGATAGGCAAGGCAGTGGTAATATTAATAATATATTAATATATAAACCCAGGGCATTTATTTTTAAAAAGGGTTTTTGAAGGGGCATTTATTCGAGAAAGATCCAACCACATTAGAAAAAAACGTTATTCTACTTGAGTAGAACATTAATAGAATGTGTTGAGAATGATGTTGTTTCCATTAGTTTTATTTAGTCATTAGAAGCATTTATTCCAAATGAGGCTCTGGAAGGGAAGGGGGGGGGGGAGAGGCATTAATTCAAGAGGGTGGGATCGTTTACAAAGCAGGACTTTAATCAAATACAATATTATTTTGTATTAATTTACTCTACTAATCAGTTGGCAGTGAGAATGTTATTTAAAAGGTAGGTTAAATAAAATATTAAGACCCTCTATTATTATGTTCTTTAAAAAAAACCAAAATGAGACAATCAACTTCAATTTGTCATAGTAACATCACAAGTGGAATGACCTACGTCAAAAAACATGTTCCACGTACCAAGAGTTCTCGCATAAATATTCAATGATCTTGGCTAACTGTTTCTCAAACAGTGCAATCCTTATCCACATATATCGATGCTGTAATGCTGCTCGTCTTCCCTGCGGGTTGTTCCTGTCGAAAACTTCATCCGTAAAGCTCAGAAATTTCTTACTGCAGATTTAAAAAATAGAAAAAAATATTTTTTTTTTGATTAGGAATGCTGATATGGATATTAGTATGTATCATAAGTGACATACCATAAAATCTCGAATTGAAGCCCTGGGCTTCTTTTTTTTTTTTTTGCGAACTTTCGATGGGCTTCTTTTTGAGGCTACTTTTACAAATTAAAGAATTCTGTAAATTTTGGGAATTATTACTTTAAAACAATAAATAGGGCCACTGTAACATCAGTCAGTACCCTGGAGTGTATTAACCGACATTAAAACACCTAAACTACTGTATAAACCAAGTATCTTTTTAATTTACCGTATTTTGTTTCTTTGAAATTCATGTACAATATAATGTACTGTACTATCTCGAAAAGAATCCCATGCTATCGTGAAAAGAAGCCTATGGGCTTCTTTTCGAGGCTAATTTTGCTTCAATTCGAGATGGCCTTCTTCTTGAGATTAAGCCCACTGGGCTTCAATTCATGGTTTTACAGTACTGTAATTGGCTACAGTAAAGTACATTTTGTCAAGAATGACATTTAAATTTTCATTGGGCATAATTATTTTACTTCTGCTGGTTTCCATGTTGCCAAAACTCATGTCCAGATTTAAAAAAAATTATAGCTAATGTAACTGGTCCCATATTGCCTATCACTTGCCTAGACAGTCCTGTATGTTACCTACCAATTACAAATCAACTCAAAGTAGGAAAATCCTGATCATCCTCATTAACTCATGGTACATTAATATGCCGAACATGAAATCTGAAACCACTATTAAATTATTTTCCATACTCAAAACCACTGTGACTATCAATTTCAGAGATCACATTATGCTTCTATAACACACCATGCCTAAATATGGTCATGATGACATCACATCATAACTATATACAGACATATCATGACTATAAATGGGCATACAACAGTTTTTTGTCAAATAAAATTTAATAGTCTAGGACTCTAGAAAGGGCTTTAAATCTCCAAATGATAATGTATTTTTGTGTTGCCCAGTAACATAAGGAATCGTGCATAGAAAATGCATTTTCATTTATATTAAAATAAATGGTGCATGTGCAAGTCTAATGTATCATAAATTTATTGAAACTATTATAATGAAAATAATATCAATCTGCCAGTCGGCCTGTTTGTTGTAAACCAATATAGAATTCAATGTTATTATATACAGTAATTGGTAACTTGCAGAAAAAAATCTACTCAAAGTTATTATTCTGAATACTTTCAAAAAGCTTACATCAAACTGTATAATAATGCAATCTTTAATTTGCAACAATTGTTAATACATGCACAGTGAAAAATATAAACAACATACTGTAGATTGTAGCGGCAGTTTGGCGCAGCAGTTGATGTTTGGGCTTTCAATCATAAGGTCGGGGTTTTGGGTCTCCGCTGTTCAGATTTGCTTGTGCCCTTAAGCAAGGCACTTTAGCTACATTGCTTCAGCCCACCCAGCTGTATCAATGGGTACCAGCAAACTGCTGGGACTAACCTGCGACGGACTAGTGTCCCGTCCAGGGGGAGTACAACTCTCATCCGCTTCACACTACAGAAATAGTGGATAAGCCCAGTGGCTTGGAAAGGATTTAGTTTTTTTTTAGTAGTTGATACTGATTAATTGTTCTTTTTTTTCAATAATCAGAACTGGTCCTAGCCTAGACTGTTGAACACAACAATCATATAAATAAAAGGAGTGTCCATGAGTGGATTGATAATCGGTCCTAGACGGGTGTAATACTTGGCAGTCAATAAGTAGATAACATATAGTCTAATGAAATATTTTCAGACGAAAGAGACCATAACAAAAATGTTTGTTATCAACTGACTTCCTCAATAATATAAAATTGATGAGCAGTATAAAAGCCAATGATCTCTTTAAAAAAAATTGAATCGCATGCATTTTTAATACATGTTATTGTAATCAAAATTTTGTATGCAGAACAAAATTGTTATTCACCATATTGTTAAAAAGCTAATACGCAGAAATATGTGACGCAATATTTATTGTCAAACAATGTTATTGTAATATTATGCTCTTAGTGGAAAAAAAAAACATTGTCAATCAATAATTGACTTTCAATAATCAAGATGATGTCTTAGTTACAAACTATTTAATAATGCTCATTCTTAGGACAGACTATCATTAAAAATATTTGATGAGATAAAGTTGGCCATAAGCAACCTAACTCTCACGACCATTTTCACCTCGGATGCACATGTTACTATGTAATAAAAAAAAAAAAAACATCAGTCCTACTGCATTCACTGTACATACATTAAATACAAAAATAGCTACAGCATAACAAGAATAAATTGTTGGCTGTAATTTCCATAAATCTTAATTTACTGATTTTTTTTTGTGGTATTTGAATTGTCTTTTATTAAGGATGGAAGTAAAGTTGTGAATAAATGAATTTTGACTTCAGGATGTATACAGTACATAAATATTGATTAATCATATCACGTGAAATACAATGAAAATTATGAATTCAACATTATTACAATGTATTAACTGATAAACTTAATTTTAATAAAGCCAATAAAATAATCATATGGTCTAAATTATCATTGTCCAATTTATTGTATTATCTTATATTTCAAATATTACTTTCATTTTTGTTCACAACCAAAACTTGCCAATTAATGAATAGAACAATGCTCGCCAAACTGTTAAGTCTTCATGAGGCTTGGAAATTGGAGTCGTTATTTCATGAGAAAAAAATATTGGTGTGACAGGATTTGATCCCAGGACCCTAGAAAAGGAAGGCAAGTACCGTATCCAAACCACCAAATTTGAGCTTCAATACAATACAATACAATATTTATTGGATTAACACTTTTATAACAGTGGCAGACATTTAGAAACAAATACGTAACAGTGCATCTAAAAAACAACAAAATGTATATACTGTAAATGCTCAAAATAGTGCCGATCTCGAATAAGCACCTCACCAAACATGATTTTTTTGCGTTAAGTGCCACTCTCGAATAAGCGCCGCGGCGCTTAATGGAGAGTATATAATATTACCCTGTGTGTAATGAAACAGGGTTTTAAATTATTGATGTATAGTGTTACAATGAATGAATAACACAATGAAGACACAAGCATTTCTTATAAACGTTTGTTTACGATGATAGGACCTATGATAGGCCTACTGAACTACGGGAAAACATGAAATATGTCTCCCAACATTTTTCTATGCATTTTAACTTCAATAATCAAAGACCAGCTGTTTGATATTTTGCCTATTTATTTATTTATTTTTTTTAATATAAATAAAGTGCACTCTCCAATTCGAGACCCCTCTAATTCCAAGCTTCTACCCCTCTAATTCGATACCACTTTTCCAAAGACCCAAATAACAATCTTCAACCTTCTAACACAAAGATAGCCCTCTAATTGGAGACCAACCCCTTGGGACCTGAAAGTTTTGGGTGGTCTCAAATTTTCAGGGCGAACTGTATGTATTATTTCTAGAATTTTAAACAGGCAATGTGCTTAGCATAAGGCCACACATAATTTAAAACATTTTACTTAAAATCAAAATAGGTAGTAATTAATTTAAATAATAATTTAAATAAATTAAGTAATTTAATATAAATTTAGTTTATTATAATTTAAATTTTAATTTTCATAGTTTAAAAAATAAGTATTAAATTAAACATCAATTAAATAACAATTTAAATACAGTACTAATAATTTAAAATATTCTTACTTGTTATTAACTTCCATCCTAGCTTCTATGTCTGCCACCTTTTGGGCCACAATGGAAGCAGGAGCAAAGTTCTTTGCTATAGATTTAAGTAGCGTGTAGCTTGTGTTTCCTTTAAATAGGCCAACTGCTCTGCGCTTCAGTCCATGTGAAAGACAAGATTCCACAGCCGCTGTAATAAAACCAGAAATTCATACTTTCAAAATATGTAGAGTAAAATAGGCCTTGTTGAGCAATCTTTCAAATTATCAGAGCTGCTAAATTACTAAATTAGCTTTTTTTTGCCTATCTGAAAACTGGTCTGATGTTGCCATTAGAGATGAAATGTGCCAAGTCGCAGAAGAAACTTGAGACTATGAAAATAAGAGGAAATATTAGAAATTTGAAAAAAAAGTAAATAAATAAATGAAAAATGATATAATATGCTTAGGAACAATTAAATTAAGTAATTTTTATAAATATGACTCGCTAATTGCTTGCGATTGGTATTCATTTTAACTTCAAGTGCTTTATGTTATATTAAACATATATATTTTATTAAAATTGTTTTGTTGCTTACTTTGTAAACTGATTCTTGATATTACAGCATGATTAGCCTTCTTTATTCAAATGATACTGTTCATGGCCTTAAATGTGGCTTGTGGATATTTTCTAAAGGTTGCCCCTTAATGGGTATCTTCAATAGTTTAAATTATCGGCATTTCAATAAAGTAACAAAGCGCCTAAAAGGTATAAGCTGAATATTATTAGGCTGTATCTGTCAATGGTCATGACATAATACTGTATAATTTTGTTTATATGATTATAAATAACAACAATAAAAAACATTTATAACAAGCATTAGCAACAATATTAATAATGGATTGAATGTAAATAATGATAACACTAAAATAATACCAAACAATAACTCAACAATAACAATAACAAACAGAATCTTCACACTTAACAACTGACTAAAAAACAAGGGACATACGCACAAGAACACACATCTTGTCCCACAAACATGTGTTTACATACGATCATGCTCTCATTTACAGAGAGCTTTCGCTATCTCGTTCAAGAACCAATTTGCTGAGAAAGTTACCCGTTCTCTTTAACGTTCGAAATTAAAAAAGTAGTGAGCATTCGTTATTCTGTTCCGTGTTCCCTGAGAACCAAACCCTTGGTGGCAGCACAGCCTGCTGCTACGGCCGTGGCACACACTTGGGCCGTGGTGGTATTATTGCTAACTGAATGGCACGGAATGGCTAGGGCCTAACCTGGGACAAAATACATTGATTATGTGAACATCTGCGAAAAATCAGAGTGAACTTGCAATTAGTATTAAGGGGCCGTCCAAAAACTATTTTAACGTGAGTACCGCGTTATCGGCTGTTTTGACGCTGATTTTCACTAATGCGGCATATGGGCATGGCCTAATATTCACCGTTCACGAGCTAACAAAATAACTAATGAATATGCATGATAGCTAACTCATTCTGTTTACCGTGGCACTCACGGTACGTCGTCCACGGGGTAGAAGTTTGTTGTTTGCGTTTACAAAGAATTCTGTATGAGACAAATTCTGTACGAACCTACGAAAGGTTGATGGAGCACGTCTGCAATTTTTGTATTATATTTTAATGTCACCAGTCAGTTACAGTCAAGTGCAAAAAAAAAACGATCTAGGGCCTAGTCCAGCCATTAGAGTTAGGCTTAGCTGGAGGGTACTACTACCGTAGTAACTAGGAACTTATGTAGTAGTATAGGTAGCGTGGTAGTTTTAGAACTGTAATTATAATTCATAGGCCTAGTAGTAGTACTTTATGCCTAAAGGATTTATATATTTAGGCCTTATTTATTATACAGTACTGTATTATTATTTATTTATATACCGTATATAAAGTGACTAGGAGACTTCTTTCTTGGACGTGTCTCCCGACTGAATTCATGCCTCTGGCTTAGAAAGAAAATTACTGTAGTACTGAATATATATTGTGTTTTCTAAAATAAAGATTGAAAATGAATCTTAAATCTTTACATTTTAGCCAGATCTATCTATTTTAGTTCACTAGTCGGATTAATTAAAACTATAAAGGGCCATGCATTATTTGACCTAAACTATTTCCGCCTGATATCATACCTGTCATCAACGCCCAGGTCTGCCTGCCGCACGTGGTCCGTTTACAAAAAATTGTACTCGACTAGTCTATAAATACCAGGCATATTAAGGATTCTGGGCGCACAGCCATGACGAATATTCTAAGTGGAAGCTTTGAGATGTCTGGACTCCAAGACTAGAAACAACTTGTTATGACTATGATGAGTACGAGTATGTGCAGCGGCCAATAGGCCGACTTCAAATTAAGCAGGCATATTTTTTAAGTGCGGTGGTAATGCAGACGACATATTATTCAAATCCGCATAAGAAAAGTGTTAAAGCTAAAGCTAAAAATTGGGACGCTGTATGTTAAAAAAATATTAATTCATGAAGGGTCTATGAACAATGGCATGCCTGAGCACTATCCCTACCTCATTTGTTCAGATGTGAAAAAAATAATATTAAAATTAATGGAAATAAATGGCAAATTAAGTTACTTAGACGTTACTTATAGACACAACAGACACACCTTTAAAACGGAAGATCAATTCAAAAATAACAGTACTGTACTGGAATTAATTAATTTTTAATAATTTCAAGGTTATTGATTACAACTTACAAACCTTGAATGGACACATTATTTCAACCTTAAAGCTCAATGAGATTATCAAATTTTTTTTAAGCAAAAAACTATTATATGCACTTGTATACAGTAGTCATGATGTGCCTATGTGACTGGCTCAGGCAAAACCCTCCCTTTGTCGCACTTTCTAATTTCCCACAAGCACTCACAGCGTTCGAGAATCAGAATATTGAACATATTGATGTTACTGCATTTTATAAAAGAAGATATAGTGAAGAACATTTCTGTAAAAATATTAATCCTAAATCTAACTGAAAAGTATAATAAAATTATTTTTTAAATAAAATCTTAATTAATAAACTACTGATTTTGGAATCTTTGGAAGCTGTTTTCTCAAAACCTACATATGCCTGATATAGAGTACTTGCAGAATCTAAAAACACCAAAAACTCAATTTTCAATTTTTCCTACAAACGGAGGATTTTGCAAGAGCCGGACACATACGGTCATGATGTGATGTCATCATGTGACATTTAGGCATATCACATGTTTTTGTCAAATTTAATTTGATAGCCGAAATATAACGCCTTTCTGTATATGAATGGAACTCGCACGCTGAGTGAGACATTGGTTAATCTTTTTATTGTTATTGTTTCTAGAAAATTGTGCTGATTGCAAACTACAGTGAATGTGGCAAAGTCAAGCCAAATCAGTCACTCGTCGCAAATTGTGTTTCAGAGAAAATAGCAAAAACATGCTAGAATGTAAATTTTTTTTTAAATCTATTTTATTTCACTAAACTGAGGTTTATGTATCTATACATCATGCTGTGCTGTTATTTTTCCCAATTTCAATGTTAAAAAAACACTTTTTAAAGATTTTATGATAGTTTCTGCATTAGAAATGCCTGAAATCACTTTGAAGGCTGATTTCTCATATATTGTTCTTTAAACAGAGCTGTATGCTTAAATGCTTGTAACTTCATAAGGAAATGTCGGATTTGAATGATTTTTTTACCATTTTATAGCTCTTATTTTACTCTTTAACCATGTATTAATAACTCAAAATTATTCTACCTTTGATATATGAAAAGCACATAATGTTTTCTATGTAGTGGACCTACTGTACATGCTGCAACAAGATAATTTTTAAAGAACGGATAATACGTAAATTTATATATAACTAAAGGAAGAAGTATCTTATCTTTGGAAATTTCAGGTGAGCGTAATAAAAATAAATTAAAAAAAATTTTTTTTTAAATTAATTTCTATTTTCGTAGCACAGCTAACTGGAAAAAAATAAAAAATTATATTTTTATTCGAAATCATCATTATTGGCGGTCAAAGGGTTTGCTAAACATGCGTAGTCTTGTCTAATTAGTAATATTGCGGGAATGTGACTGGTTTTCTTTTCAGACACATGCAGAACGCATCGTAACGGATATATTGGGGTAATATTACCAAGTCTGAGATGGAATGCAGTGTAACCCCAATATTGCGGCTTGCAGTTAGCCCTGACCTATTCATACAGAAAGCAAATGCCCATTATTGCAGTAACATAGCTCTGTATAAAAGTGGCTTTAGATGTGCAATTGAAATACAAACACACCAGCACAGAAAATATGGTTAATGGTTTGCTGGTAAACATTGATGAGCTGATCTGTGAAAGCATGTGACATCATCAAGCCTAATGCTCAATATGGAATCAAATGTAATTACAAATCTTCTCTTGAGCCAAGGTCAAGACTATGTAGGCAACAACTATTACATGATCCAGATATTCAGTATGCTATCAAAACATCTATGGATGGGGAGTATTTCCCTGTTTACTGGGATGTTCTGTTATGATCATGATAATATTCATAAATAACTGATAATGATTTAAGGATGATGAGGGTAATGATGATGGTAATGAAGATGACGATAATAATGATGGATGTTAATATGAAGAAAATGACGATGATGATAATAATAATATTAATAATAAATAATTATCATTTACTTATTTTATTAATTTGTTTGATTATTTGTATACTGTAGCCCCTTACTCTTGAAACATGAAGAAATTCTGGCCCTGGTCATTAGGCCCTGGCCCTGGCCATTATGCTTAAGCATGGCCTAGGTGTTGCTTCTGCACAGGGAACAACACCAACATTTTATACTCGTGGGTGGTGTAGTAGACAATTAGTGCCTTGCTTGAGGACATAAGTGAAATGCACAGGGAAAGATAGAAACCTGACCTTGAGGTTTGAAAACCAAACCCGGTGCGCCAAACTAAATTACATATTATAATAATGCAATGTTGTCAATGATAATAATGATATCACCATGGAGGTATAAAAATCACCAATATTCTAAGTGCATTTTTAGGGCATAATGATTAGTTATTCATTTAGTCAATACATGTTACTACCACAAGCTGAAAGTGCCCAGTGTGTGATTAGGGGTACTTTACAAATTATAGTCTTTCAACAGCTTTTGATTCAAATTTTTGAAGGCAATAATACTAT